CTTTGAATATGGCTGTCCAACGGGATGGGACGGGACGGGACGAAACGAAATTAACGGGACGGGACGGGACCGGACGACATTTAAGCGGGACGGTGGCGGGACGGGACGGGACGGGACAAACGGGACAAAACGGTCGTCCCATCCCGTCCCGCTAACAAACGGGATGGGACGGGACGGGACGGGACAGGTTCGTGGGCCTTAAGTGTATTTTTTTTATATAAAAAATGTCTAGTTTTTTGAAAATTACTATATTTTTAAAGTTTGCAATGACTAGATTTTTGACTTATTTAATAAACTTAAATGTTACTATGTTAAAACGAAAATTAGAAAACTAAGTAAAGAATTATAAAATATTAAAATAAAAGACTTGTAATGAAATATTCTAGTAAATATAAATTTATAATAGAGTTATAATTTATTTAATATAATTTCAAAGTATTAACTATTAAGTAACTAAGACAATTCATAAAAATAATTCAATGCTTAGAGCCTTTTATTTTATTAATGGAACTTTCAAATCTCAAATACAAATATAATTCTTTTGAAGAGCACCTAATCTACGCAGCCACCTTCTAGGAAGAGTTCTGTTTGAACTAGGCCTCTTAGTAGCCAATTACAAATTATCATACTAATATTTGTAAGCTCCTATATAGCTTCTTTGTAACTTATCAATAATATCTCTCGGACATTCTACTGGAATTGGCAATGTTGATTGATGTTCCATGAGCTCCATGCCGTCGTCGCTCCCAGTGGAAAGTATCTCATTGTATTCTTCTTCTTCCCTAGTGGTTAATTTTTCAAAACCAAAATTTCTTCTTTCTGAATTAATCCAATCTCTGAATAATACAGAAATCTCTAGACTGTCCTCCGCTAATGCATGTCTATGATCTCCAATTTGAAATCTTGCCGCGCTAAAAGTACTCGCTGATGCTACTGATGATGCTTGAATAGCCAGGATATCTCGGGCCATAATTGAAAGTGTTGGAAAAGCCTTACCACGCTCCCTCCACCATGACAAAAGTTGTTCCTTGCCTTCTTCGTCTTTAATATTTTTCAATCCTTGATTAAGATAAGAATGAAGTTCATCATCAATAGAGGAATCAAAACCTGTTATATCATCCATATCTTCCCATAAAACTTCTGCTCTAGACATAGAAGTAGAAGGAGCAGTTTCACAACCAATTGTATCCATAGATTTATATTTATCAAACAATGATCTAGCATAAGAATATATGCTAGCTTGGCAGTTTTCGAGCGATGGTTGTTCATTTTCTTGAATTTCTAAATTCTCATAAACTTTACGAACAAGTCCCTTTGCACCTCTTAGTTTTAAAGATGGGTTAAGTAGAGTAGAAATTAAATAAACTTCGGGAATAGGAAAAAAAAATACTTTTTAAATTTTAAAATCATTTCTGTAAAGGCCGGTGCATAAGTTGGATTTGTTTTATACTTACCAAATACAACAGAAATTCCACAAATATACCATAATATTTGTGAAACGGTAGGATAATATATACCAGAAAATTATTTTGTAGCATAATAAAATTTCTCTAAAAATTTAGTAAGCTCTTTGATCTCATCCCAATCAAAATCAACAATTTGATCAGCAGGGTAAGCATTATGCATATTAAATACCTTTTGGATAGGCACCCGATAATCGTAAGCAACTTTAAGCATTTCATAAGTAGAATTCCACCTAGTACAAACATCTTTTGGAACTTTCCTAAATGGAAGGTTAACACTAGCACATTGTTGAGCAAATTCACGAATTCTACTTTGTTTATGAGCACGAAAAATATAGCCACAAGCATGTTGTTTTTACTACAAGCATTAGAAAATAAATTAAGACCATCTTTTACAACCAAGTTAAAAATATGGCATGCACATCTAACATGAAAAATTATTGGATTAATTGGACAAAGTCTAGATTTTAAGCTATTTGCTGCGGTTGTGTTAGCAGAAGCATTATCTAAGGTGATAGTTAAAACTTTATTAATGAGTCCATAAAAATCAAGTATTTGTAGAACTGTAGTTGCAATATATGCTCCAGTGTGTTTTGAATCAACAAATTTATAACCAATAATACGTTTTTGCAAGTTCCAGTGACGATCAACCCAATGACATGTAACAGTTAAATAATCACAACCATTAGGACTACGACCTATGTCAGATGTGATAGATACTTTACAATCTAAGTGAAAAAAATACACAACGAATATACTGAAGATATTCAGTTTGAAATTTAAAAACATCATTTCTAACCGTGGTCTTAGGAAAACTTTGAAAAGCAGGGTTATACGTTTCTTGTATATAATGCACAAAAGCAGGGTGAGAAGGAAAAGTAAAAGGTAAGCCACAGACAACCACCATTTTTGCTAAGTTCTCACGATCTATATCTTTGTTATAGGGGCGTAAAACATGACAAGAAGCAGACCACTAGGAGTGCCAGTACTGATGGTAGGATCTATAATTTTTCCGGCTTCTATGTTAGCTTGTATCCATAAAGATTTGTGAGCACTTCTTAAGTGTCTAATTAAACCCCCCATCCCACCACTTATTGAGTGTGCAAATTGTTGCTTACATTTTTCATAGATAGCACGATGATTGACTTTATCATGTTTAAAAAATTTCCATACAAGTGATATTTTGGGACGTTCAACCTTAGGCTTACCCCTTACAGGGGGTACAGGGGGTAAAGCCCCAGACTGAGATTGACTCTGAGTTGGAGCTTGTGTTGCGGGACTAGTGGGTGTTTCATCTAATTCTTCTTCCTCATTTTCTTCATCCTCATTTTCTTCGTCCTCAAAAAAAAAATATCATTGCCAAATTGTCTTTGTAAAGTTTCATGATCTAATTGTTCTCCGACATGAACATCATAAAATGTGGGGGGTTGGAAAAATGAAGTTTCATCAATATGAGTCATTTCATCAATATCTTTTCTAATTCTAGGTCTATGAGAAGGGTTAGGATTAGGATTACTACTACTTTCACCTTTACTAGTTTTTTTACTACTTTTTTTAAAAATACCAAATACATTTTTAGGTGCCATAATTTAAATACGAAATTAATTTAGAAAAGCTAACACAAAAATTAAACACACAAATGACATACCAAAATATAACACGTAAAGTAAACACAACAATTAAGCACTAAAATGATACGCAAAAATTATATATTAAAATTAGGAGATGGAACGAGTGCACCGTGATTAAAGTTTGGGAAACTTGAAGAAATTGCCTAAAATATTGCTCCAAATACTTGACGAATTAATTTGAAGCTTGAAAGTTGCTCCAAAAAATTTGCCCAAATACTTGAAAGTTATCACCTGATACTTGATAGTAAGAAAATTGAGAGAATAATATAGATAGAATATTAGAATGTAAGAGATTTGAAAGAGAAGATTGATTTTTTGTGGAAAAAAAATAAAGAAGAATGGGGGGGGGGGGTATTTATAGTAGGAAATAGGGCCAAAGTGTAATTTAAAAAACTTAGGGGTTATATTAAAAGTTTGGGGGGGAGGGGGGAGGGGTAGGGGTAGGGGTGTTCCGGGGGGGAGGGGGGCAGGGTTGTTAAAAGCGCTCGCTTCTCGCTTTAAGCGACGAAGCGAGGCGAGGTGAAGGGGTTACGCTTTTCTGGGAAAAGAGCGACTCACATTAGAAAAGCGCTCGCTTTTCTCGCTTAAGCAAGAAGCGACGCTTTAAGAAAAGCAATAAAAAGCTCGCTTAAGCGAGCAGAAGGCTGAAGCTAGGGCTTTTTTAAAAATTTTGGGGAAATAAACATACGCTCCAAAGGCATCTGTTACCAAAACATATGCGACAGACCACTGCTGCTCAGCGAACTCCAGCGTCTTCTTCTCCAGCCCAACGAACGACCACTGCTGCTCCAAAACAGGTAAGTTTCTTCTTCTTCTTCTTCTTCTAGTCTTCTTCTTCTTCTAGTCTTCTTCTTCAGTTCTTCTGTTCTCTTCTTCTTCATGCTCTGTTTTTTGTCTTCTTCTGTTATTCTTCTACTTTTCTGTTTTTCTTTCAATTTTTTCCTCCAGATTAAGCTCTCATATTTTGCCCTAAATGACTTCTTTTTGTTCTGTTATTAAAAGTGTTGTTTATGCTCTGTTTTCTTCTTTTATGCTCTCTTTATGCTCTGTTTCTGTTATTAAAAGTGCTGTTTATGACTTTATGCTCTGTTTTCTGTTTAGGGCAGTGAATTAATTTTTTTTTTGGTTGTTGATTGTAGTAAATTTAATTTGATTATTCAATGGCATCAAGCCAAAAAAGAGATCCAGCTTGGGCGTATGGAGTCGCAGTTGGCAATAATAACTCAAGAGTGCAATGTATCTTTTGTCAAAAAATTTATAACGGTGGAATACATCGTCACAAGAGACACCTAATCGGTGATTTTAGAGATGTCAAAGAATGTCCAAGTGTTCCTGTTACTGTTAAGAAAGAAATGAGAGATTATGTGAGAAAAAAAATGAGTTAAAAAATCCAATGATCCATGGAGCATCTATGATGAATCTTCTTGATAAAGATACTCAAATGGATGAGGATGACGATGAAGTCAATGATATAATGAGGCCACCTCCCTCTAAATCTCAAAGAAAGAATTCAACAAGTGGAAGTGGATCATCCACCGCCGGTAGCAATGTGAAAGGTCCTCTTAATCTATTTTTCTCACAAAAACCAAATGAAAAGAGAAAGGGTGAAGCTGACTTAGAATCTTGTAGGAAGAGTTTGAGGGAGCGTGCGGTAGATGCTTTTGCAAGGTGGATGTATGATGCGGGGCTTCCTTTTAATTGTGTGAATTACACCGATAGTTTTGGAAAATTCATTGAGGCCGTTGGCCAATATGGCCCTTGAATGAAGCCCCCTACCTATCATGAAGTAAGAGTTCCTTGTCTAAAAAAGGAGGTGGAGAAGGCAGACAAGATTGTCGAGGAGCATAAGGCGCAATGGAAAGTTTATGGTTGTTCCATTATGATGGACAAATGGACCGCAAAAAAAATGGTCATTAATGTTTTGGTGAATTCTCCGAGAGGTAGTGTGTTTCTTGAATCTTATGATGCTAGTGACTCCTCAACCGATTCCAATAAAATGTTCAACTTGTTTGAGGAGACAGTATTGAAAGTTGGACCGGAAAATGTGGTTCAAGTTGTTACTGATAACGCAAGTGAGAATAAAAAAGCGGGTGACATGTTGAAAGGAGTTTTCCCAAGTATTTATTGGACTCCTTGTGCTGCACATTGTATCAACTTGATTTGGTGACATTTTCAAGTTAGCCCCATATTCTAAAGGTGAACAAGTGGTTCTTATTTTCTATTTTAAGTTTTTAACCTTCATGTTAAATATTTCATACTTATTAACTATGAAATTTGACTTCCTACAGTTTTTGCTAAGGCGGTCAAGATATATTCTTACATTAGTCAAAGGCCGTTGTTGTTGAACATGATGAGGAGATACACAAAAGAAAGAAATTTGGTGAAACCGGCTAAGACAAGATTCACAACAGCTCTCTTGACCTTGCATAGCTTTTACCTGCAAAAGCAAAATTTGCGAACCATGTTCTTGTCAACCGAATGGAGTGAGAGTAACTATGCAAAGAAAGCTCTTGGGAAAGAAGTTGCGAGATTTGCTATTAGTCCTGCTTTTTGGAATGACACTGTTCAAGCACTTAAAGTTGGTAATCCTTTGGTTACTGTACTTCGTATGGTGGATGGGGAGAAAAAACCACCAATGGGATCATTTATGAAGCCATGGATAGGGCTAAAGAAGCTATTGAGAAAGCATTTGATCATGATAGGAGGAAATATGAGAGAGTGTTTCAAATCATTGATAAAAGATGGGATGATCAGCTTCATCAACCTTTACATGCAGCAGGGCATATTTTGAAACCCGGATTGTTTTACACAAACAATGAGAACAAGACTTTAGATTTAAATATTTGGAAGGGGTATCATGCATGTGTTGCGAAGTTGGTGCCAGATGAAGCGATGCAAGACAAAATAGGGGAAGAGTTTCATGTGTATAGGCAAGCCGATGGAATTCTTGGATTACCTTCGGCTATTAGAGGCAGAACCAAATTGCCACCAGGTGAGCAACTTTTTTCAATTGTTTTCCTCTTTAGAGCTTTAACTTTCAAGTTATTAACTTCTAAAATAATACTTCTACGGTTGAATGGTGGATGCAATTTGGTTATGAAGTTCCAAACTTGCAACAGTTTGCTATCAGAGTTCAAAGCTTAACTTGTAGCTCATCCGGATGCGAGAGAAATTGGAGTGTTTATGAACAGGTGAGAAGCTATATTACATTATTACTAAATTAAAGTTTATCTCAATTGTCCTAAGTACTCCTCTTAGTTACTTTCTACATCTTATTATGCAGATTCATAGTAAGAAGAGGAACATGCTTGAGCTAAAGAAACTCAATGATCTCATGTTCGTAAAATATAATAGAACATTGGCTTGTCGTTACAAAGCTCGCAATATCATTGATCCAATTTTATTGGATAGCATTGATGAAGCAAATGAATGGTTAACCGGAGGCCCCGAAAATCATGAAGAAGAAGAAGTGTGTGAAGGAGAAGGTCTCACTTTTGGTCATGTTGCTATGGCAAGTGGAGTTGAAGAGAATGTTTATGGTTTTAGGGGAAGTACTTTAAGGAGCAAAGAAAGAGTATCTACAAGTACAAGTACATGTACAAGTAGAACCCTAATTAATGAAGCCTCCGATGAAGAAGAAGAAGATGATGACCAATATAATAACTCGAACGTGATGACACTTCAAGAGTTTGGAGATCTGAAGAATAGGATGTTGCTCCTTTTGTGGTTTTGTTTTGCATTTGCTTAAGATATTATGACTTTTGAGGATTGTTCACTATCTAGTTTTAGTATCTATTATGAAATATTTGCTTAATATGTTATTTTTAATGAGTTCTTAGCCATTTATCTATGCCTATTTTTTTTAATTTTTTTATGTGTTAAATTGCGCTTCACAGCAAAAAAGCGCGCGCTTCGCTTCGCACTTCTCGCTTCTGCGAAGCGAGGCCTCGTTGCTTTTTTGCGCTTAACGCATTCCAAAACACTGGGGGGGGAGGGGGGGGGGGTAGGGGCTATTTGGACCGTTGGCAACGGCTATTTTTGCAATTTAAGCCGTTGCCCAACGGCTACTTTTTAAAAAAAAAATAATAATTCAGGCGGGACGGGACGCGGGACGGGACGGGACGAAACGGGACGGGACAAACGTGACAAAATGGCCGTCCCGTCCCATCCCGTGTCCCGTTTAATATTGGCCCATCCCGTTTAACTTGAAGCGGGACGGGACGGGACGGGACGGGACGCGGGACGGGCCGGCCCGGCCCGTCCCGTTGGATACCCATAACTTTGAAGTAGCAATCGTTAAACCATGAATTTCACCATATTCAACGAGAGGTATCAATTTGTGCCCTGCGTATAAAAGAAAGAGAAACTTTCAGAAACCACTATGTTTTAGTGGTTATTAGCTAGTTGTAGCTACCATGCATTTACTATATTACTTCCTATAGCTATATTTTCAGATTTTTTAGAGTGTATTCGATGTATTTAAGCTACTGTATTCATGAATACAGTAGCATTTCTAGGCGTGAAACAGGGGATTACAGCTAGACAAATTTTTGTATTCGAGTGTATTCGACTGTATTCATGGCGTGAAAGATGGGATTACAGCTGGACAGACTATCGTATTCAACTGTATTGACGTCGTAAAACAGGGAATTACACTGTTTTTAAACGAAAAGAGAATCAATTAACATAATAGATTCCTAATATAACTCAACAAACTCAATTATAACACACAAATTTTGTATTTTCAGTTATAAAAAAGATTCTCAACCAAAAAACACCCCAAAAACATAGCAATCTTCAGAAAATTATATAATACATCTGAATACATAAATTATATTAATTAAAAAAATATATGAATACAATCATGGAATACAACGAGAAAGTGAATACAATGAAATACATGAATACAGCGAGATACATTGAAATATAATGAAAAAAAAAGACAATGAATACAATAAAATAAATGGAACTACAGCGAGATACATTGAAATATATTAACAGAAAATTCAAGTTGCTCAGCCCCAAACTCCGTCGTCTTTGTTCAAGAACAACCCTAATGTCATCTCGTCGATAGAAGATTTCGAACCTCTAGAATAAAAGAAGATTTTGCAGCAATTTCCCAAACTTTCTCCCACCACCTCCGCGGCGTCGCTTCTTTTCTCTCTCCGCCATCTCCAACTCAGTCGTCGGAGCAAGTTCCGTCTTCTTTTTTTTTTTTAAAGAATTTTTTCTTTAACTCCGTTGATTAAAACTGAGTATAAAGAATGTATTAACACTTGCTAAAACTTGCAGAAAACTAAACTATGAGAAAGTGTAAAACATCCGAAGTGTAAATGCCGCATAATATTTTGGGGAATATAGGATAGGGGATAAAAGAAAAAGAAAAACAAAATCTAAGAGAATCATAGTCTTCTGTGGAGAGATGGGGGAAATCAGACGTTGTATGCGAGCTCCATGGTAACCTGCTTCTCAATGCACACCGTAGTTCGTTTTTGCCACGGATGAGAACAAATGCTTTGATGGGTCACTGTATTTGAAGGGATAAACAACTGGGTTTGAGCAATCTTGGAATAAAGAGGAAGAATTTGTGAAATTGGGCTGTTACGAAGAGGAAATTGAGGTTATATTCATGGAGAAAAACTGCCGTTTTGAGAGAGAGGGTGGAGAAAAATCTGAAAGAATGAGAGAGAAAAATAATACAAAGCGTATTTTATGGCTTAAGGGTAGGAGGGGACCATAAATAGATATTTGGCTATAAAAATTAAAAGGTAGCTATGGAATATAATTTTTTAAAAGAATATTTATTTAGAATAAATAAGGTATTAACCTTTGCTACAACAGGTAAAAATTCCTAAAAGAAATTCTAACAGGAAGCGCTTCGTCTCTAATAAGCCTTATACGAACGGATTAGCCCGGGCCCAATATAGGCACCAAAGGTAAAAATATGTTGTAAAGCTGGATTGCTGGTTTGATGACATTAGAAACTCAAGAGTCTCACCGTATGTCACTGAGAGTTCATGAGTTCTTTTCAGACCCCATATCTCTCCGCTCCTGTCTCCTTAACTCTTTCTTTATTATGCTGCAAAAATATTGCTCTCGTTCAATTTTATCATAAACCTTTAACCTTAACGAGATATTGGATTTCTTCATTTTACTTAATTATTTTCACTATCAATTCTTAACGTTTCTGGTTTGCCTAACTGTCCAAGTTTTGTTATTTCTTTCGATTGCGCCTTGTAAAATGTCAGTACGTGTAACGACCCGGCCGGTAGTTTTTGGAATTTACGCCCCGATCCCCTATTAACTGCTTTCCCCAAGTTTATTTCTGCTATTTTGATCTGCCGGGACGTTCGATTTTGAGTTTCGGAGAGTTTTAGGACACTTAGTCCCTAAATGAGAGCTTAAGTGTTGGAAAACTGACCATAGTCAGAACAGTGTGAAGACGGCCCCGGAACGGAAATCCGATGATTCCGTTAGCTTCGTTAGGTGATTTCCGGGTTGGGAGCGTGTTCGGAATGTGTTTTGGAGGTCCGTAGCTAATTTAGGCTTGAAATGCCGAAAGTTGGAATTTTGAAGTTTCCGGTCCGATAGTGAGATTTTGATCCGAGGGTCGGAATGGAATTCCGGAAGCTGCAGTAGCTCCGTCATGTCATTTGGGATGTGTGTGCAAAATTTCAGGTAATTCGGACGTGTTTTGGTTAGGTTTTTGATCGAAAGCGTATTTTGAGGAAATTTGAAGTTCTTAGGCTTAAATCCTTGATTAATTCGAGTTTCCGACGTTGTTTTAGGTGGTTTAAGGATGAGTACAAGTTTGAATGATGTTATCGGATGTGTCCGTAGGTTTGGTGTAGGTCCCGGAGGCCCCGGGTGTGTTTCGGATGCTCAACGGGGCATTTTGGAGTTGTTTTAAATTGCAGAAATCTGAGTCCAGCAGTTGCAGACTTTTCTTCTTCGCGATCGCGGCCCCTTTCTCACGATCGCGTAGTGTAATCTTGGAGGAGGACCAGTTTCTTCTTCGCGTTCGCGTTCAATTCCCCCGCGTTCGCGAAGCCCTATCATTTCCTCCTTCGCGTTCGCAGCCAGCCCTCGCGTTCGCGTAGTGTTATTTAACGCTGAGGGCTGTACCTATTTTTCTTCATCGCGTTCGCATGCCATGTCTCGCGTTCGCGTAGCTTTGCCAGTCCAAGTCTTCGCGTTCGCGTACTGTTCCTCGCGTTCGCGTAGAGCAATTTAGCAGCCTTCATTTTCCTTCTTCGCGAACGAGTGACTTCCTCCGCGTTCGCGATGCATTAATCACCTGGGCAGTTATAAACATTTCAAAACCGAGGGTTTAGCCATTTTTGCCAAAACTCAAGCTTGAGAGCTCGGATTTGAGCGAGATTTCGAGGGATTTTCAGGGGCAACGATTGGGTAACGATTCTAAACTCCTTTTTATTTGTAACCCAATAATCTAAGCATAAATTCCTCTTTTAATTTCGGATTTTGAATGAAAAATTGATAAAACTTCATAGACCGAATTATTGAGTTTTGAGTGGGTGTTTGACCTCCGATTTGAGATATTTGTATATGGTTGGACTCGTGAGAGTACGAGGGTTCTGAAAATGTTAATTTCATCCGATTCCGAGACGTTGGCCTGAGGGGCATTTTGGTCATTTTACCTAATTTCGCGTCTTAGCTTTGAATTAAACCATAGAATCAGTTGCTTCAGATGTTATTTACGATATGTAATTAAATTGAATAGATTTGGGCCATTTGGAGTCGGATACTCGTGGCAAACGTGTGGTTTCGAGTTAATTTTGGAGCTGGTTCGAGGTAAGTGACTTGTCTAACCTTGTGTGGAGGACTTTTTCCCTTAGGATTGATATTGTGGTAATTGAAATGCCTCGTGCAAGAGGTGACGAGCGCGCACCTGTGCAAATTGTTGAAAATCCAGTTTTCTTTAAAAATAGCCTTGAATTGTGTTCCTCCTTCCCTTGTTTACACTGTTTGGGTATTAAACCTGCTATAGCTTAGAGAAGCATGTCTACTTGACTAAATTGCTTTACCTGTCTTAAGTGCCTTAATTGTACTACGTGAACCATGTTAGGTTAGGATTACCTGCTTCACTTTGATATGAAATTGATTGGGTTGAATTTTGTTGTTGCTGTGTATTTACTTTGGGACTACGGAACGGTATTCCGGGAGATCCCCCTGCACTTTATTTTGGGACTACGGGACGGTATCCCGGGAGCTCCCCTGTATGTTTACTTTGGGACTACGGAATTGCATTCCGGGAGATCCCCCTGCACTTTATGAGTTGGACTATTGGACTGCACCCGGGAGATCTAGTGGACATGATATTTATATTTGGGGACTACAGGACGGTATCCTGGGAGATCCTTGGTTGTTATCTCGGAGTTGAGTTATGTTCTATTACCGTGTTTTACTTACCTTTGTAATAGTTGTTCCTGTCCTTTATATCTTGTGTTATTTAATTACACTGTCATTTCACATTGTTAAACCTGTATCTTATTTAACCTCAGTAGGGCCCTGACCTTCCTCGTCACTACCCAACCGATGTTAGGCTTGGCACTTACTGAGTACCGCTGTGGTGTAATCATGCCCTTTCTGCGCATATTTTTCATGTGCAGATCTAGGCACTTCCGCACAGACTTACCATCCTTTAGGCAGGGAGAGCTTTTGGAGACTTCGAGGTACATCTGCCGCGTTCGTAGACTGAAGAGTCCCCATCTTTAGTCTATCTTGTAG